CTGCGACCCATAGCGACTCTATGTATGTACAGCAGCTCTGAACCCTTCCCTGTCCTGAGCCAGTCTCACTAATTCCAACACACCAACCCCCATTTCCCCAGTTACTATATCAATCCATCTCATCCGGAGTCTTCCTCTGCTGTGCTGTCCCTCCGGCCTTCCACGCAAGATGTCCTTTCTCTAAGGACTGGTCTCTCCTCTCCTAGTCATGTGCCCAAACTATGTGAGACAGAGCTTCAAAATCCTAGCCTCCTAGGAGAAACTTGGTCTCACCCTCTCCAAGACAGATCGATTTGTTTTCTTGGTGGTCTGTGGTATATCCAAGACTCTTCTCCGGTACCATAGCTCAAAGGCATTGATTCTTCTTCTGTCATCCTTAGTCACTGTCCAGTTCTCTGAAGAATCACAAGTAATTGCAAAGACCATGGTCTGGATTAGGTGCACCTTAGTCTCTAGACTGACATTGTTGATTTTCAGTACTCTGTAGAGGTCCCTGACTGCAGATTTTCCCAAAGCAATTCATCTTTTGATTTCCTGACTTCTGGTGTTAAGGGTGTTGATTGTGGAGCCAAGCAAGCTATAATTGTTAACAACCTCAATCTCTTCTCCATCTATCATGAAGCTGCCAATTGGCCCAGTGTGAGAATCTTTGTTTTCTTGAAGCAGTCCTCAGAACAGAGCAGAGAAACACTGCATGGTTCAGAATCAGGAAAGGAGTGCATCAGGGATGCATCCTGTCTCCATACCTCTTCAATCTATATTCAGAACAGATCATTCGGGAGGCAGGGCTTTATGAGGAGGAATCTTGGCACCAAGATTGGAGGATGATTCATCAACAACCTACGTTATGCAGATGATACAACCTCGCTTCCTGAAACTGAAGAAGACCTGAAGCACTTGCTGCAGAAGGTCAAGGACTGTCATCTTTTGTATGGATTAAAGCTCAACATCAAGAAGACAAGATTCTGCTCTTTTTTGATGGTAATTTAACATGAATGCAATTACACAATTTGTGTACTTTGCCACATAAATACCTAACATAAGAGACTATGTCCCAATAACAAGGAACATGGAACTGCTATCATAACTTGAAATGACTAACGTGTTATTCTGCTTCAGGCCTTTTGTTCATAGGGTCACTGTGAGTCGTGCTTGATGCAAAGGCAATCAGCAATCTGCTGTTGAATTTTTCTTCTCTTGCAAACAGTTACATTACAAACATCTCTGTGCCTTATGCCTCTTTCTCTTCAGAAGAGCATCGTTTCTTGAATACCTACCAATACCGTGAGGGCTCTTTCACATGTATCAATGTATCATCTCATTAAGTCTTCTTCTCATCCCTTTGAGATTAAAAAAGATCTTTCTTTCACAGAAACAATCTGGTAGTAAAGTGACCTACTTGTCAAAAGTTGTAGAACCAGGATTTGGAATAACTCCCCAAAGTCCAACCATTTCCCCACAACTGTGTAAAAACTTGGAGACTCACTGGAAACTGGAATTGTTCTTTAAGGCTTTTCTGCATTGTCTCCTGCATCATTTTGATCACTTGATAAAGGTTCACAAGATGCTATTAATAAAGACATGACACCTTCCATCCCCTAGTGAATAAAGATCCAGAGTATTATGTTGCAAAAGGAAACTAATAATAAAAACCAGTTACTCTCAGTCCAGTTCCAACTCAAAGAGACCTCCCATGCATCCTACTAAAAGGTGCCCCTCAGATTTATAATGGCTGAATTTTTTTAGGTAAGTTGCTAAGAAAGTGTTCTAATGAAATGTGCAAAGATCTGGAGTTAGAAAAACAAGATGAAATCAAATCTGCTTTAGGAAACAGGCAGGGGAGTGCCCCTTAGAAGCAGGAATGGTGAGACTTCATCTGGCATCGTTGGGGCATGATATCAGGACCAGAGAGGGACGTCATACTTAGGTAAGTAGGTGATTAGAAAAAAAAAAGACAATTTTCAATGAGTTGGATGGAAAGAGTGGCTTCAACAATGGGAATATATGCAGCAGAGCTGGGGGAAGTGATGCAGGCAGACCTGGGCAGGTTTCCTTCTGCTGGACATGGAGCCACTGAGCTGAGCCAACTCAACATGTCCTCACAGCATCAAATTCCCAGGCCATTGTCTTGGAGCATCTCTCCATGGAAGCTTCTACAGTGCCCAGTGCACTGACCATTTGCACTGCACAGAGACCTGTGATTGGGATCTTGTTCACACTTCTCAGCTCAAAGCTTATAAATATGAGACAGGTCGTCCTTACCTGCTTTGTTCAGATGGACTACAGTACCGTCTCCCATATAGATGGCCCAATGCTTATAGGCAACTCGAGAAATGGCAATCAGATCTCCGGGTTGTGGATCTTCACTTGACTACAACAGAACCAAAAATAAAAGTGTAAGCAAATTTGGAAACACCAGAGACTTGGCTGAAGAAAGCTGCAGGTCGGAACACACACTCTTTGCTGCCTTCATTACCTGATAGGAACTCTGGAAGCCATGAGAATGTCCATTTGCCTCACCCTCAGAGAATCCCCTTAGAGGAGCACCAGGCATAAGAAGTCTGGGAGTGGTAGGTGGCAGAAACTACTGAGAATTGAAGAGCTGAATTTGTTACCAATAAGCAACTATTTTAAAGGCACTCCTGTGTATACATTGAGGTATACTTTATGATTATTTTTCTTTGTATGAAAGTATATGTGCCTAAATCTTTGCATGCAAGACTAGCATCCTTATATCCACATATCCACAAATATCCTCATTTTGTGTCTGGAAAGCAGGCCCACCCTGGAATACATTTTACTTTTGCCAGTGGAATCCACACCACCGGGAGAGCTTTGTAACACTGGCCTAAATCCTCAAGGCTGAAGGATAAGGACCTGTGAGAACTCTTAAGAAATTTTCCTGGTGTGTGGTTCAAATCCACCAGATGCTCTGCTGGAGAAGGAGGAACAATCTCCTCCTGTACCAGTCAGATCTGATTTGATGGTACACACACAAATAATAAAAAATTTTTAAAAATTTAAAAAAAAAAAGAAATTGTCCTGACGAAGAAATTGAGCCTGTTGCCATCCTGAGTCGTAACCTTTTAACTTCCCTAATAACCACATACTCATGAGTATGATGCTCTGAGAGCTGTGTAGCTACTGTAACAGATTTCGGACCCAGTAGAGCAGCAGAACTGATGTTGGATTTAGTAGAAGTAGGTGTGTAAGCATGGTGGGTGGGGTATGTCCGACTTCATGGGAATTGTTTTTGCGTTGTGGTGCTGTTAATAGGGACAATTCCCTCTTGAGAAGTTAGTAGAGGTCAAATGCAGCCATCCTTATGCTACCATAATTCTTTATTCATATGTTGTTAATTTTCTCAGTAACAAGAAGATCAACATTTGAGTTGAATCTGGACCCAGTTTCCGTTCAGTAATTCATTATGGCCACCAGGGATCTCACTCTTTCGTGTGTCATTGTAGTCCCTCATCTTAAGTGACTCCTCACATCATCCAATATGGCTACCCAGGGATCCGCTTCCACCTACTGCGTTCAAAGAAGGGTTTCCACTCTCATTATCTTTCTCTCTCTGTTTGTTAGGGATCAATTCCTTTCCCATTAAATCTTTGGTCAACTTGCTCTCAGGTCTTATTGGTCACAAGTTGGTCATATTTCCAGATCAACCCCAGATCGAGAGGAACTAAGCCTGACAAGTGTCTTGCCTACCCCTGTGGGAGGAGCTTCTTGCTACCCAATCAGCATCAAGGTCCTGACAGCCTGGAAGAAGGGGTGGAGTGAGGGAGCAGGGGAGGAGTTGGCTGGCTATCAATTATACAACTAAAACATTAGCCATGCCTACTTACTAACCATCCCAGTAACCTAACAAAGTAATTACAGAGATATCATAACTACTTCTCAAAGAATCTGGTAAGTAAGAGAACAGGCTATTTATCCACCCCATTTTCTCACTCATTAATTTATAAAAGAATCCTGTTGGGTAGACCTGGTACTATCACTGTCCATTTTCTAGATGAAGAAACTGAGTCTCAGACAGATGAAGTAAATTGAAAACAGTCACCCACATGGTCACCAGAAATCTGAGAACTAGAGTCTGTACTCATGATATTTAGAGCAGTGGGCCCTTCATCCACTGTTCTGGGCTTCGAAGTTTCCAGAGTGGAAGGTATCCTTCAGGGGTGCCACAGATCTGGGCTCACTTAGTTGTAATTGGACGTGTGATTGGACCTAAATTCTGTGAGCCCAAGTGTTTTATGTGCAAACTGGGGAAATGAGGCCTACTTGGCAAGCCTATGGTCAGGACTAAAGGAGCTAAGTGCTCTTAAGTGCCTAGTATTGTGTGTAGTGTTAAGAGGCATTGGTGGTTCAGTGGTAGAATCTTCACCTTCTGTGTGGGAGACCCAGGTTCAGTTGCCAACCAGCTTGTCTTGTACACAAGCCACCATCTGCCAGTGAAAGTCTGCATGTTGTTGTGACGATGAAGAGGTCTTAAGGAAGCTCCCATGCTAAGGCAGAACAGAAATAAAGGCCTGGAGATCTGAAAATCAGCCAGTCAAGATGCTAGGGGATGTCAGGGGTCCACTCTGCAGCTGCCCATGGAGATACGGAAGGACCAGCTTTCTGTTGCACTGAGCAACTAGACAGCAGCTACCTTGCTAATGTGGGAACACAAACAACATCACAGGGGAGCGGGGGTGGCCTGGTAAGTAGAGACCTGAGCTGTTGACCCAAAGGCAGCATGTCTCTGGTGGTTCGAATCCACCAGCAGCAGAGGGATAAAGATAGGAGAAAAATCTCCTCTCCTGTGACTCACAACCTCAGAAACCCAGTGCAGTCTGAGTCAGGTCTGGCTTGACAACAGTGGCAGTGGTTTTGTTATTAATAATACCGTATTAATGTACAGAATTACTATTAAGACATCATGCAGGCTCTGCTGATGCTTGTCCAAGCCCCTTCCTCTACCTGTACCCCCAAGAAGAGCCCAAGAGAGAAGAAGATCACCCCAAAGTGGACCTTACCAACTTGCAGCGGGGCCATCCGTATCTCAGGTCAGTGACAAATTTCTCACTGTTCTCACATAAGACTCTGTACATCTTCCTGTCACCGATCATCTTCTTTGCAGAACTGATGATCTTATCCAGCGGCTGTGGTCGGTATTGATGGTCCAAGTGGTTGTTGACCCGGTAGAGGCAGCCCCAGGCCACATTGTCCAGGGAGTCCTCTGTCACCACAGCCTTGTGGCTCAGAAATGTGAACATTTTGGAGGAACCCAACTTGGGGAACTCGGCTGGGAATCAGAGAGAAACCAGAAGGCAGGTAAAGCAGAAAAAGACAGAAAAATGGAAAAGAAGGGGGAAAAAATATGATATCCCTCACTCTGTGAGCTCTGGCTCCTTCACTTTCCACAAAGCTGTTGGGAGGAGTCACTCATCTGACTCTTAACAAGATATTTGAGTGCTTTTGCTGTTGCCAGTGGCTGATGAGGCACTGCTTACTCACAATGACCATGTGTTCAACAAAATGAAAAGTTCCTGGGGCCCACACCACATTGACTCTTTGGTGTATTTGAGTACCTTGCTTTAGCTACTATGTCAATCTATCTAATTTCACTTTTTAAAAAAATGATTCATTTTAATGAACATTTACAGAGATTTTGGATTTCCATTCATTCATTGTTGCATTTTTCTCCCTGCTCACCCCTCCCCACTAGTTCACTCTTCTCTTTGAAAATTAAAAGAAAAATTCCTTCATTGGTATGCAATCCCCCCTTCCAACCCCCCATCCCCAGACCTGAGTACACTTCACTATGCAACCTTCATTCAGGACTCTCATCATAACCATAATAATCATATATCACTTTTAAACTGTTCTCTCCCACATCTGTTTCAATGCAGTACACATGATTTATTTCCTCTTTCTCAGTCTCACCCCAACCCTGATGTCAGTCCCGTTCTACAACAGTGGCACTATGCAGTATTTGTCCTTTTGTGACTGAGATAGTTCACTCAGCATAATGTCCTCCAAGGTCACCCAGTTCGTATAATATTTCATAAGTTCCTTGTTTTTCAGTGCGACATAATATTCCATCGTGTGGATATACCAGAGCTTCTCTATCCATTCGTTTGTTGATGGGCACTTGGGTTGTTTCCAACTCTTTGCTATTGTGAACAAAGCCTTGATAAACATGGGTGTGCATATATCTGCCTGAGTAGCAGTCATCTAATTTCACTTTTACTCCTTGTACCCTTTAAGGTACATATTATCACACCCTTTTCTCCAGAGCTGGAGAGAGAATAACTTTAAGAGATTAAAAGGGAAGTTTTATGAGAAGTTCAGTTTTAAGAGAAGTTAAATACCAGCCAAAGCTCTTTGCTATGAAAACTCTCAGAGTCAGTATTTGAAGTGACTTTAAAACTCCTAAAGTTAGAACCGTATCACTGCAATGAGCAGGATCTTTGCAAATCCAATGCATAATCGTTTGTATCCAATGACATAGCACCGTTCTGAGGATGCTCATGGGCTCAAAAGTAGCTGCAAACTAAGAGTTCAAGTTCTATTCTACAGTGCATGCAAGGGAGCTCTCATGGCCTAGTGGGTAAGGAGTTGCACTGCCAGCCCAAAGGTAGCCAGTTCAAACCCACCAGCTGCTCCTTGGCAGAAGGATGGGCAACTTCCTTCTGTGAGATTTCTTCCCTCTGAAAGCCCACTGGAAGGTCAGCTCTGTATCGGATCAGACTCAAAAGTATACAACAACAAGAGCTAATGAGCACTATAATTAAGCAGGCTTTCAATTACGTTTCCAATCTCAAGGCTGCCATTAGTATTTAATATGCATCTTCTTAAGGGAAAAATACACAAATTGTGGAATTAAACACTAAAAGGGCCACTTGTCCTTATTGTCAGATTTGTATTATAAAACCCTACATATGATCAAGCTAAGTAAGCTTGATTTCTTAGTTACCATCTATATACAGGTGATTTTTTTGGACAGAATTTGTTAAATTCTCTCAGGTCAGATGATAGCTTCTGCAAAGCCGACACAATGCAAATGTCTTGTTCTGACGGTGGCATTGGCTGTGTCCTGCGGCAGCGTTAATGCTGGGTGGACTAAAGACCATCAAGACGATGGGGTCCTCGGGCTGTAGGACGTGACCAGGTTGCATCTGACTTCACAGCCTCGTTCAGATTCTCCTTGGTTGTTTTCAAGGACTCTGCAGGTGTTTGTTTTCTGAATTCTCCTGGGGCTGACTTTTTCATCCCTCCACTTCTGCCGTTTATGAACCACATACTAATAGCAGAAGCTTGCTGTGCATTTGCAAGGGAATTTGGGGGTCAGGAGAAAGGCGTTTGTCAAAACTTTTCTTAAGCAACAACAATCACATTCTACTAAGACACTTTGTTCTTAAAAAGCATGTATGTATGGCAAATAGCAAAGCCTTCTCAGGTGAACTCTGGGACTCTGAGTGTGGAGAAACTTTGCTGCCTTAAAGGCACCTACGGAGGCGTCAAAGACTCAGTTTTCACTGGGACAGATCGACCTGCTGACCTCTTCAACTTCATTGTGGAAGTGAATGAGCTTTTCTCTGCGTTCCCAAATAATTGAGGTCCTTGGTGCTTAGTCACAGAGCAAACTGCTCAGAGATTATTAAGGCAAACTACTTCCGGTTCAGGAGTTGCCTGGCTACCAATTCCCTTGCGCAAGTCTGCCTTTTGTTGTGTGTGGTTTGTTGTTGTTTTTTGAGTAGTTGGTGCCTGGTGGCAAGAGGATGAGCAGCAATTCTTAAGGCACATGACTGGAATCCACCAGATGCTCCACGGGGGAAGGATAGACCGTCCCCTTCCATGCGATTTACGGCCTCTGAAAACCCACTGGCGGGTCAGATACGAATTGGTTCTGACTCAACAGCAAACAAGAACAAAGTTAGCCCATGGCAGAGATCGTGACGACCACGCAGGATAAGACCAGGTTCTAATCTGTTGGTCACGGGGTCACTGTGAGTTGTCGTTGGCTCAATGGCTCAGTTTTCTCATTAACAAGTATTTAGAAAACTGTTATTTTGAACATATTTATTGTTGCATTATTCACAATAGCAAAGGGATGGAAGCAACCCAACTGCCCATCAATGAATGAATGGATAGGAACACTATGATATATTCACACAATGGAATATTACGCAGCATCGGAAAACAGTGAATTTATAAAACATTACACAACATAAGTGGGCCTGGCGGACATTATGCTGAGTGAAATATCTCAGTCCCTATAAAATAAATACTGCATAACACCGCTGTCATAATACAGGACTGACATGGGGTGTTGAAGAGAGAATAGGAAAATAGTGGATAGATAATGAACACTGAATTGGAACAGATGAGGGAAAGAACTGTTTGAAAGAAACATGATTAGCCATTATACGTATGACAACAATCTGGAATAGGAGGTGTTTTGCAAAGAGAACTTGGGGAGGGAAAAGGAGGGAGGAAAATGTGCAACAATGAATGAACAAAAAAAATATTTTTAAAAAATTCCAAAACCTGTATTTTGAATAATCTCTTACTTGGTGGAGCCAGGTGGATCACATAGCCGTCTCCCACGTAGATGGCCCAATCCTTGTAGCCAAGGTGAAAAATCTCAATCAGGTCTCCAGGTTTCAGTTCTTCATAAAACTGCAGCAGAAAAACCAGAAACAGTAGGGACAAACCTTTTAGAAATGTCAGAAACCCTGGCAGAGGAACTCCGGGTAAGCCTGTGGTCTCCCTTGCCAGTAGTAAGAACACAAGCAGGAAAGAGTTCTTGTCCTTCAGAGGGTCCCCAACCGTGATGTTACTCTTCGAAGCCCTTTCTGTGGAGTCTCAAGGACTAAAAGCCGGGGGAAATGACCCTTATAAGAAAGTGTTTGTCCAGGATATGTACATGTTATGTGTGCATGCGTCTATGTGCATAGACAGAATTCAGATGTTCCTCTGCAAGTGTATTTTGCACACGCTTCGAAGCCCATTGACAAGGGATGCTGTGTGGTTAAGCAGCTCCACTGAGCTGGCAGCACCAGGCCCAACTGGAGCAACCAGCAAGTTGAATCTTGAGAGTCTGTGCTCTTTGCAGATATATCCTCCATCCCTCACCATGTCCTCTTGCCCCATGGTTGTCCATGTCCAGATGAGGCTCTCCCTCCTCAGATAACCCCACGCACTTCAGGACACCCACCCGAGCTGACAACTTGAGAGAAAGCATGTTGATGGCATCTGAGCCAAAGAGTGCAGCCTTGAGGGGCAATCCAGATTCGAGCAGTGAGATGGGCTCACAGAATCAAAGAGCAGGACCTCCTGGGGTTGTTTTTCCTACAGAAACTGAAATCTTCACGGCAGAGTCAGGAAGAAATACTCATCCTCCCATAGCAGTGGTAAAGAGATTGGAGGTCAAAGAGGCGGAAGAACTTCGCCAAGAAGGGTTAACAAGGAAAAGGAAGGGATGTCTTCTCTGCCTGCTTCTCACACTGGTTTTCCTTTGATGACACCCTCCCATTCCACACCTTCATCTCAGTTCTCAATATTGCACCCCAGATCACCCCAGCTTCATGAGCCCAGAAGTTTTCTTCTCCTTTTGTTTCTGATCTCCATGAAAGGTAAGCCCTGACTTCCATCCCTTTCACTTGCAATGGAATGATGATTTTCTTCTTTAATGTCAAGCACGTATGCTATTTCTGACCGCAAATCGACAGCTTAAGACATTTATCAGATATTCTTTCCTTAAGTTGCCTACCCTGTTGGCCCTAGGCTGGCCCTCTTGATCCTCCAGGGTCCCCACCTCTTCCTTCTCAGGCCACTTGCACTGTGCATCCCTACACCTCTCCTTTCTGAGCTCTACCTAGGCGGTGAATATCCATTGATTTCTCCCTTCCTATCTCACATTCAGAATCCAGGGGAGATCTGGCACGGCATGGGACAAAGAAAATCCACAGAGAGGAAGGAGAGACTATTAGCAGTGTCAGGATTCCCAACTCCTGGTCTACTTTGTCTCGTGGCAACACGTCAGCCAGGGCTCGGTAGGACCAGAGATGGCTTTCACATGCAGTGAAAGAACTAGGGGACTTCTTACTCCATTTCCAAATGCCAAAAGTCACATTTAGGGCACCAGCAGCCAGCAGATCATTGAAACCTAAGCTTGGACCCTAACCTGACAAAGCAGTGGTTAAGGACAACACTGCAGAGGAAGTACATCAGTCTGGATGACTTCTCCTCCTCAGGAGAAGGAGACACTTCCCAGCAGTCATTCCACTGCCCATAATTGTCTGGCCCCAGCCCCATTCTCTTCCAGTTAACAAGCTAAGCTGATGTAAGCACTTCTTGTGTTTTCTGACTCAGGATGTGGGAGTTTCCTGACAAGGAAGATTTCACAGATCAAAGTTTGAAATGAAAATACACTTTATAAAGGACAACAAATGCCATGGTAGAAAGAGCCATTGTTGTTAGGTGCTGTCAAGATGAGTATGGCCCATAGCGACCCTGTGAAAAACAGATCTGAACCCTGTCCGATGCTGTGCCGTCCTCACCATCTCTGAGACACTGAAGCCCCTTGCTGCAGTCACTGTCAATCCATCTGGTTGAGGGTCTTCCTATCTTTTGCTGACTTTTCACATTTTCAAGCATGATGTCCCTTTCCAAAGAATAGCCTCGCCTAGCAGCATGCCTGAAGTATGTGAGATGAAGCTTCATCCTCTTTACCTCCATGAAGCTCTCTGACTGCACCTTCTCCGAGACATTTGCTAGTTCTTTAGGCAGTTCTCGGGATATTAAGTACTCTTCTCCAACACCACAGCTCAGAGCCATCAGTTCTTCTCTCCTGTCGTCCTTAGTCAATGTCCAATTATCATTACCACATTTCAATTGCATGTTTGGTTAATATAAGACTACAAGACTTGGGAAAAAAGTATTCCCTTTCCTCCTCTTTGGCTTTAGAGGTGGGAGCATATATTTTAATAAAGCCATACTAGCAAATTTTCTTGGTATGTATACGGATAATACCCTATCACTCACAGCATTGTACTTCAAGATAGAACTCGAAATTGTCTTTTCAGCTATGAATGCAATACCATTCTTTCTCTGTTTTTCATTATCAGCATAGTACAACATATGATTGCCTGATTCAAAATGGCCAAAGCTAGTCTGTCTCATCTCATAAAATGACAGTGTTTATGCATTCCATTTCCTTTTTCACAACTTCTAGTTTCCCAACAGTCATACTTCATACATTCTATGATCCAATTATTAACTAAAGGTTGCTTTCAATTCTTTCTCTTCATTCTTACTGACTTCCATTCTGGGTTCTACCTCTTCTAATACTATAATTATCCATCTTCCTCTACTGTTTATCTAGGGGTTTCAGAGGCTCTGTATTTAAGAAGTAGATGGTCGATCCTGCTTCCTAGTTTGTCTTAATCTGGGAGCTCTAGTAAAACCAGTCCACCATGAGTGACCTTTGTGGCATCTGACAAATCAGTGGTACAGCTTTCAGCTTCACAGCAACCCACAAGCAACCTCAGGACAGTAAGCTAATAACAGACAAGTGCTGTACTACTTAAAACAATGAATTCCCTCAAGACAACAAACAGATTAGTGTTGTACCTCTAATTGGAAATCAGGCATGTGACTATCATGTTACCAGATCCACTTGAAGCCTGAATAGACATGGCAGGGTGTGCTCCTCAGATGGCATTGAAGCATTCCAGCTAAGACTTATAGCTGACATGATGGGGTATTGTCCTGGATATGGATATTAAGTTTACACCAAAATCTCTGCTGAATCTTCAATGCTGGTTCTTCCTACAACCACTAAAGGGTCTGTGTGATCAAGAACGGCCTGATTTCCACATTGAAAATGCTATTAAATAAGAGACCCCAACCACCAAAGGGTTGTGTGATCAAAAAAGGCCAAACTTCTGGATCAAAGCTGCTTTAAAGTAATATAGAAAGAGGTGAGAGTGGAAATGTTTGAGCTAAGAAAAGACAGAACCTCAGCTAACGCCAAAGGAAAACAAGGTGGGGACTAGCTCATTTCACAGGGAACTGGGGTCTTTAAACTCAAGGTCCACACTAAAGAGTCTACAGAATAGGGAGGTTGAAGGATAGGCACAAATCCCCTTCCCAGTGTTCTGTATTCCCTTCCCTGTGGCAGATAGAAAGATCTGGGACTTACCGCAGCCATCTCTGAAGCAAGGTGGTACAGCTGGTGCTCTGCTGCTCTTGGACTAATTTTCATATCAAGGCTGAGGAATTCATCTTCTGTTTCCTTCTGACACTCATCAGGAGGGTCGCTGCTTAACAATGAGAGGTATTTCTCTAAGTGTAAAAGGTAATGATTCCCTACATCAAAACATGGAAATACTGGTGTTAAAAGAACCATCTATAAACAGTGAAAGTAGGAGCAAAAGCTCTGAATTTCTCCTTGAGAAAACCCTGATGTCTTCCCACAAGAACTATCAAAGTTATTCCTATCCCAGCACAAGGACCCATTTAGAGACAGGGGAGTGTCCACGCCAAATTTCAAGTTGTCCTGTAACAACTTATTGGTCAGAGGGCATGGGGACAGACAAGAGGGATCCCTGAAACAACAAGAAAGGTCCTGTAGAAGGAGGTGCCCTACACCTTGTGCACCCAGATATTCACTGCCCAGTTTGTAGAAATAAGCAGAACTTCAACTTCCTGGATGTTCACAGTCTCTGAAGACAGGAGGTAGGTGATCCAGATTCAGTGCAGCAGCTCATGAAGACCACTAAGCACCTGGCCCCCTTCATCCAGCATCCAGAGACCCTTTGCATGGTCTAACAGAGCCACAGCAGCAGGAAAGGAAGGCATTTCTTAGACTCTCTTATTATCAAACTCAAAACTCATTGCCATAGAGTCAAAACTAAGTCATAGCTGACCCTCCAGCAGGTTTTCAGAGACTGAAAATCACACAGAAGGAGATTGCTCATCTTTCTCCTGCAGAACAGCTGGGTGGATTCAAAACAATCAGCTTTGGGTTGGCAGTGCAACTCCTTACCCACTAGGCCACCAGTGCTCCCTCTCTTTTTAATGAGGGAAGGAGATTTCTCCCACAACTCCTCAGTTGACTTGCTCCCACCCTTCATCCACCAGTCCTAAGTCACATTTCCACCTTCCACAAAATAATGATGAGCAAAGGGATAATCTGATGGGCTTGGACCACTCATGTTGAGTCTGTATCTGAATCTTCAGCTGGGAAGTAAACGGTATATTTTAAAATTTTAAAAAAAAACACCAAACTTAAACATTAGGGCTCTGTAAGTCTGGGGAAGGTGAGTATCAGTGGTGCAAAAAGACTGAGCTACTATTTTGGATACCAATAACTCACCTGTATTTTATCTGGTCCTATGGAGCCCTAGTCTACTATATAGGGTTTATCATATAGCTACAAGACTAACTGGTTCCTAAACAATCAGACTGTTGTTATGTGCCATCAAGTCACCTGCTATTCATAGCAACCCTATGTTCAATAACTCTGAACCTTGCCCCATCCTGAGCTGGTCTCACTGACTCAAACACACCTCTTCCCATTGCCCTATTTATGGTGTCAATCCATCTCACCCGGGGTCTTCCTCTCCTCCACTATCCCTTCACCCTTTCAAGCTTGATGTCCTTCTCCAAGGACTTGTCCCTCCTGGCCACAGACCCAACGTATATGAAAAGGAGCTTCAAAATCCTTGCCTCCAAGGAGAAACTTGCTTCCACCCTCTCCAAGACAGACTTATTTGTTCTCCTGGCAATCCATAATATGTTCAACACTCTTCTCCAGCACCACAATGCAAAGGCATCAATTCTTCTGTCATCCGTAGTCATTGTCCAGCTCTCTAATGCATAGCCAGTAATTGAGAAGACCATGGCCTGGATCAGGCATACCTTAGTCACTAGACAGACATCATTGCTCTTCAGTGCTCTGGGGAGATACTGTTTCCAAGTGAAATTGGGCCTTAAATTTTCTACAGATGTTCTCTATTTTCATTTTAAAAGGGAGTAAGGAATTCCTGGTGTGGCAATAGTTAAACACTCCTCTGCTAACCAAAAGATTGGTGATTCAAATTCACCGAGAAGCTCCATGAGGAAAATATATGGTTATTATCTATTTC